GGAACTGGAGATACACAATGTGAAGGAAAGAACACAGGCACAAGATGATGGGAAACAGGGACAAGGTTGACACTGGACATCCCACAGCTGTAAGAAACACACTCATGATAGGTTTTAAGCAATGCAGCCCAGGAGCTGAACTAATTTTTGCCATGAGAGAACAACAGACAAGGCTCTAGCATACATAAAATGTGCCACATTTTAGTGTAAAATTGCAGCTTGCAGATCAATAACAAGGTATAATTTTATTAAATCTATAAAAACAAAAAGCCCATAAAGGGGAATCCTAAAAGATAGAAAGGGAAATAGCTGACAAAACATTATGCTCCTTTCAAGCAAAGAGGGATGTTGATGATTCCCCACATACACACCAAGACCATGGAAGGGTGACATGGCAAGAAGAGCACTGCATACTGAATAGATACACACACGGGGCGTGTATCCTGCACTTCTCAGGATTTGCTGGGAACACATCCCAGAGGAATTCTTCTGCACTAAGTATAGCTCTCTTGCTGTGTGCTTCCAGCACGCTGATTGTCCAAACGAGAGATTTGGGACATCATCTAACATAGTCCTGTGGAGCTTCATACTTGAGCCACCTGGAGAAGAACACAAGTACTAGAAAAGAAATGCTTTCAGTCACAGGAAGAGTATGGTGCCCTCTAAAAGTGCCTGTACACAGAACAGAAAGTCTTTGGTGCAGCTGGATTGGCTTCAGCTGTGTTGCTCAATTCACACTTAGGAAAACAAGGAGAAGTGAAGCCAAGCATTTATTCACATGAATCTATACTGTCTTTTTTTCACTGTGTTTGGTAAAGACACTGCCTATGTTCTTTGAATAAGAAGTGCAGACAACTGTAGTCACTGTAGGGCTCGATGATCTTAAAGGTTTTTTCCAACCTTAGAGATTATATGATTCTGGGATTTGAACTGAGTTAATCAACAAAAAGTATTTTGAGAAAGGGAGATACTCAGTGCAAATTTAGTCTGAAGCATATTGCTGATTGTTCAATTTTAATTTCTCCTATTAAGGGAGAAAATATTGGGGAAAATATATTCAGGTAGACATCATACTTTTCTAGCAATTGCTACAAAAAGAAAGACTTTATATCCCATGGATCAATTTATACTATCAAGAATAGAATATTTCTCATTCTTCTCTGAAAACTATGGTTTGTTTAGATAAAGGAATTACCAGAATTACACATAGTTGTGATCTAAACTTTCAAGAGCTCTCATGTTTCTTACTCTTTGTGGGGGAGTATTAGGTACCCTATGATTTCTCTTAAAATAAATACAGTCTGAAGGATGATATTTTCTCCTGAAAAACTAATACAGAGTCTGAGACAATAAGGAAATAAGAAGTTGTGCAAATACATAATTTCAGTCATCCACCATTCTGTGTCAGTAACATTTCTGTTGATACTGGAAAAAATTATAGAATTTTTTCTATGTATTAAAACTAACAGAAAATTAGAGTACAAGCTGGTAGTTACTTCCAGCAGAGTTCAATACCTTTACCATACTCAATAATATTTTGTTTTGAAGATAATATCAATAGAAGAAAAATAACTAAGTATTTGATTTAATTGCTGCTCAGCATGTGTAAAGTTTCCACAGTTTGTCCCTGCATATTTTTCTGAACTTAAAGAATATCTCAGTTCTAGAAATATTTAATTAAATGTATCACATTAGTGATAAAATATTTTGAAACTTTGAAAAGTTATCATGGTAACTGAATTTCTGAAAAGACGGTGTTATGGAGTGTTTAATAGGTAATGCATATTTTACTGGGAAAAAAATGGAATAATGATATTCTTCCAGTAGAATTTGATTATCTGATCAAAATAAGTATGCTATTTGCAGACATCTCTTGGATTAATTTTGCAAGTATATGTCTTTGGGAAGGAGTTAGTTCGTTGTGGTGATAATATTGGTTTTTTTCGGACAGTGCTTGACATAGAGCAGGATCCAGGTTGCTGAAGCCTTTGAATGCTACTCTGTAAGTTTTCATAGTTTCTCAGAGCAGGAATGAAACCCTTTCCTACATAGCCCAAGATATTTTTGTATAAATCTTTTGATTTTCAGTCTGTTTGCCTTATCTAAAGTGTTCTGTCATTGATTCTATGATTCTGTGAGAGCTCCAATTTACCTCTACCACAGCTCCATCCATTGCTAGAAGCAAGAAAACTTTAGCCACTTTAAGAATGTAAAGTAAGAAGCAATTTAAGAGATAGTGTACAAATATGAATCACCTATGTGTGGCCATAAAGACTCACCACCTTTTCTACCATGACTCTTATAGCATTGGAATGAAAGACATGGTAAAAAAAAAAGGGCAAGATTTTTTGTTTCTGGGAGAGAAGGACCTACATCCATGCCTCCTAAAATATCTCCCCAAACAGAAGGATCATGTTTCTAGATATTAACATATACCTTTGACATGTTACTAGTAGGTCAATATTATAGATTTTAGTTCTATGCTATATCTGCCAACCCCAACAAGGATATTTTTACTGTTTCTCTGTATGATTTCAACAGCTGACTCTAATCGCTGATCTCTACAGGGGCCCTGACATTTTAATAATAGTTTGCATTAAGTTCTACATGTAGTAGGGTTCAGTTCTAGATCTGGAACAGAAAAATATCTGTGACTGAAGACATTACAATCTCTTCTACCACATACATTGTGGGGCGAAAAAAAGTCAGGCATGTAATACACATTTTTATAAGTTCCTCTACATATAAAAAAATAGTAGCAATTCCTCTATGTCCTAACATAGCATACAAAACCAGAAGTCCGTGAGCTGTGACAAGCTGCTTCTACTAATTAAAAAACTCCATATATTTTAAAAGGTATGTGTATGGAAGATAACTTGGAACACTGGGAAAAAAAGTGACATTTTTTCTGTCTTATTCAGAGTCCTGGGATTCTGGATTCAACCCTTTGATATTTAACTAACTTCCAGGGCATATGCTTTTTGGAAAACAGTGTATGGATTCTGTATAAAAGGCAATCCAATATTTGGATTTTATTTCCAATACTACCTCAGTTAACATTTACAAAGGTTTAGCCTCCAGGAAATATTTAGCACATTATTTAGTATAGAATTTTTTTTATCACTGGTCAAAATCATATACTCATTTTTTGAAGATTCAGGCTCTAATTCTCCATTTTTTAAAATGTTTTTTTATTAAACACAATAATTCTTTTAGACATCTCATATGCTTGAATGTAATCATTCAACTAAATATTTATTGTAGTAAAAGTTCAACATTTAGCAATCAGAAGAGTAAATCCCATTTCTTGGGGTTTTTTACCCCTTTTTTATTCTTTGAAATACAGGAAATCTGCCCCTCTTTCATTCAAAGAGTCTTAGTTGTACACATGTAAAATTTTTTAATATATATTTGCTGATTTGTTTATTACTAAGTCTTTTAACTGCCTTATAGACAGTTTCTTATGGTCTTTTTCTCTTTTATTGCAGAAAGCAACTATACAATACAAAACTCATTATGCAAGTATTTTTAAAAAGTAATTAACATTTTTTCTTCCTTGTGGCAATTATTGTATATTTTCTTTATGACATTTGTCCTGCATGTACAAATTATATTAAATATCTCTGTTGTATTTCTGAGTTGGGATTGCTTTAATGAATGTTCACAATCATGTTTTTATGTGAAATCATTCCCACCTTTGACTATTTTAAGAGTAGTTCGTTTCATAATAGTGACTTTAAACTTAGAATAATCTGTATATATTTTATGACTGATATATCTAGTATTTTCAAAACATTTGTGTATCCTGTATTATCACAACTACAAAAAAAAAAAAACAAAACAAAACAAAAAGCAGAGGTTTTTTAAATATTATTTTTAAAAGTATAAAAGGTTTCATATAGCTCCAAAAGCAGTGAAGTTAGTTATTGAGTTGGCTTACAGTTAAGAAATGTAAAAATGGTATCTAATCAATACTCTTCAGTGTTTCAGATATATTATGAAGGCATTCAGATACATTAATAGTCACTGTAAACTTTACACATATTTGGAAAATCAGATAATTTTGAAAAGGAAGGTCTTGAAAGCCCTACATTAATATTAAAGTAAGTAGGAAAAGACAACCAAAAATAGCAAAACCAAACCATCTTCATTGCATCATTAAAATGGCACATAAATACTCAAAAGTCAAGGAAGACACATTTAATGCCATACATATAACTGAGAGAAGTTGGTAAAAATATTTAGCAAAAAAATTGATTTGAAATAAACTGCTTTTAATTAGAATTATTTGAATTTCACTTCAGAAAATAACCATGCTTGCAGTTGTGGGAGCATCTGTAGACTTTACTGAATTATACAAAGGAATGTGATACAATGGAATAATAGAGCTCTAGAATTAAAGTAGTAAGCAAAGAGAGGAAAACAGAGAAATATGGATTCAGGAGGAAAATATAGGGTAGAAGATGATAATGGAGATAGATATAAGTGCACAGGTAACTGGTCTAAGGACCTCTTTCCAGTCAATGGCAAAACAGATGCTAGTCAAAAAAAATTAATTAGGGAGAAGAAAAAGCACATGTGCATCATCTGGTATTTTTGCACAGACACTACAGGGTCCTTTTGCTGATTAGAAGAAAAATAGCAACAGCAGGTAGGTTGTTTCAATTTTGACTACATTGCCACTGAAAAAATGGGAACATACTTTTCATTACCTTGCATCATTTATAATTCACCTCCACAGCTGGTGACTGAGAATTATTTCTGTACTATTTGTCCTAGCTTCCCTCTGATCTTTTATGATTTGTATTCTACTAACTATCTTACTCTCTCAGATGCATCAAGAAATTAACTGAAATGCCATACTGTAACAAGAGACAAAATTAATACTAGTGAGGTGAGTAATATCACTTATTCACAGAAGGTCATGAACATTCCTCCCCATTCTCCTTTGGCTTTGCTTTATTTTTTTGAAAAAAGTTTTGTTTTTTTTTTTTCCACAGGACAGGATGTCTCAGTACATACCAGTACCTTTGAGCACTACATGGATAAATAGTTTTGTAAGTCTGCATGATAGTTGCTGGTAAACTAAAAATCCAGATTATACATTCTGTACTTTAAAATGGGTTCCTCTCATACCCTTCTGGTTTCTTGCAAAGAACATGTAAGGGTCTTTCAGAGGTGGAACTTGTGTCTGGCTTATGAATGGTTTTGGTCCATGTAGAATAATCGGAACAAATCAATTATATGCAAAATTTAGCATTAACTTATGTTACATGTGACAAGCTATAAAGTAAATGTGCAAAGGTTATTTTAATTTTCAATGTCTTCAACTGGGAGGCCTATAAAGTCATTTAGTAGCTGAGCAAGATCATACAGCATGTAAAAGTACCTAAAACGTACTTGTTTGTTAGTGGTTATTTTGCCCATCTCTGTAAAGGGTATAAGCTGAAAAGACAAGATTGTTGTATTATTCTGGCTTGATCTGAGCATTACAACAGTGATTGCACACAAAAATTCATGTATTTGTACGTGCAGCTTGGTAGCTTGCTAAGTACAAGCACGATAAAATGAAGACAGAAGTCATACTTAGTCACTCACCATAAAAATATATAATGATATTGGCGTAACTTTGAAGATACTGACTCATCAAGGATTAAGTGGCAACTGTGAGCCCACATTCCCACTATTTATAATGTTCAATAGCATCTCTAACTGTTTGTTGATTTGTTTTTATGATGAAAGCTGCATAGAAGGATTATTTATTGCCTCTGTGTTCTGTGCTGTTATCCTCTTTGCTCTTCAGACCTTGCCAGGCCAATTAATATTCCTTATCACTAAGAAGGGTAGTTCTTTTTATCCCTGAATAAATGTAGTTTTACAGCAGCTCCCAACACACCAATTATTCTTGAATACCAGTATGATTCCATTATATTATGGATAAGTGCAGACTTTGCTCTACTTATCAAACTCAAGACAGTCAGAATATGTTATATAAAGCATTAATAATACTTTTCACTTTCTGCCTCAATTTTTCAAGCTTATCCTTTTTGACAAAAATGATTTTTCAACATGGCTAAAGGCAAAAATCTTAAATCTAAATATCTATTGTAATGATTTTTTTTGTTTTTCATAAGTAATATTTTCATTTTCTGTTTACACTTGAAGCCAAACTGGTAGGAATTTACTTAAGTAAATAAAGACTGATGGAGAAAAGGAACCTAAATTACTCAAATTATGCACAGGAATGGGTACCCAGCTTCACACAGGTGATGTTCAACCCAGTGACCTGGATTTTCAGCAGATGTCACATGGGTCTTCTAGGCCAATTCTAAAATAGATCAGTATTAATATTTCATTATTGCCTTTCTTCTCTAACCACTATAGCTATATTATAAAACCCCATCATAGTGCTCCTTATGGCACCATATTAGATTAAAAACCTATCCCATTTCCCCAGATCCTACAACTGTGAACACCTTCTCTAACACCAAACTATCTTGCCTCCTGTCAGGAGTGATGAGAACTGAGATTGCTTAGCACTGTCACACAATAGTAGTACTAAGTATGGAATAAAACAAAAATTAGATTATAATTTTATACTTTTAAAATTTTTTTAACCAATAATTAAGTTTGTGAATTGATAGAAAATGAAGTCAAAATGCCTTTCTGACATGGGCACAGCAGTGCATTTTACAGAACCTGTTATGCAGGGGGTTTTAGTCACCATTTTACAAGTCTCTTATTTGTACTCTTCTCAGAAGGCTGCATTACAGCATTACTTACAAACAGCAGCAAGAGAATATGAGACTATTTCAAGTAAAAAACATACTTGTGGTATAAAAACAGTCTGAACTACAATTTTCTCATTGTGAACATTCATATGACTAATTTTATGTCATTAATTATTGAAATTCAGCTTTTTTCAGATATCTTAGAACATATCTTTTATTCACCGAGGTATAACTCGATATATACTTCAGTGCTGTTTCTTATAGTGCAAATCATTGAAAAAGGTCAGACTAAGATTCACTGCCCATTCCTATAGTTCCAAAATATTTCAAAGTAATTTAGTCTTGTGACTTTTTGCTTACCTTTAAGTTTTAGGTATGATTAACGATCTAAAAAGAAAAAAAATCCTTGCAAGTTATTTCCTAAGTTTTGTCACTTCTAATGACCATATAAGGGGATGATAGACCTGGCTGTGCAGTAAAATGCATTTAATTTTGAGAGTCCTCTGGTTTATGAAAAACAATTTTAGGACCACAATTATGTATATTTAAAACAGTAGTTAAAAAAAAAAAAGCAAAGAAACAAATAAGACAAAAACACCACACAAAAGAGTCTTTTTTACATTTATCTTTTTTCACATCACCATAATTTTACCAAATAAGTTTTTTTGAGTTTGTGTCTTGATTGAAACTGCAGAAAGAAGCTTTCCTTATAAGAGTCACAAAAGATATGATCAATTTCAATCAATTTTAGCATATAATTTCAGACTACTAAGTATACTGGTTCATCAAGCTCAATTTATAATAAATGGTGAGACCTCTGTACTTCCATTTGCAAAATGAAAGGGATTTTGTTTCTCTTGATTGTCTTTCTCACTCCATTTAATAAAGTGGGCTAGTTTATATTACCTCATAAGAAGAAAAAAAAATCATTTTTAAAACAAAACATCAACATTTCAGTCTAAAAGCATTTATTTTGTCATTAAAGGGTTTTTTAGAATTTCCTTCTGAAATAAACTACTTGACAGACTGTTTTCTCTATGTATATTTATATTTTGTTATCTTTTTTGAAAGTATTTCAGGATCATGAAGACTACTCAGAGCCTTGACAGAGCAAGTTAAAAGTAAAATCATAATGTTTTCACACATTTTCTGTATCTGTAGCTGATTTGATATATACATATCTGTGTAATATATTAACATCTTCAAATATACATATTCACTTTTATTCTCTCTCTTTCTCCTGAAATAACTTGTATTCTATTTATTTCAAACTGTTCCAGAGATAACTACAGGATTTATGATAGTATATCCAAATCAAAGAAAGGAACCCCTCATAATTTTGATCTTTAAAAATGAAACAACTTATTTTACAGAGAACATTTCTCTGACTTCTATAATATCTTTATAGTGTTAACATACAATATGTTTTTTAAAATTTTTTGTGTTCTTGCTCAAGACATATATCTAAAGATTCATCCTGCAAAATGCCAGCAACAGTATGATCCATTTATTCAGAACAAAGTTCCAATGTCACTTAGAAGCATACAGATGGTAAAAAAAGGAAACATATCTCAGTAGCCATAAATAGAATTCTAAATATCTTGCCCTGCATCATAGCTGCATTATTGTATTCCATGGTTAGGGAATATATTGCAGACTGACATAAATAGGTAGCCCAAATCTTCAAGGATCAGGCTGGATCAGAGAAGACTGACTTAAGTAAGGAGAGGGTAGATAAAGTCATTTATAGGGTTAGGGGTTTGCTTTGAAATTTGAAATGGATAGTCTTCTTGGAAACCTTGTTATGAAATTATACAAGGAGGAGAGGAAGAGAGATGGAAGTGACAAACTGGGAAAACAAAGGTTTTCCAATATTTTCCATTAAAGAAACAGAACACAGGCAGAATTCTATTACAGTGTCATCAGGTACTTAAGAGTCTTAATACTGTTTTACATTTTCTGTATTTTCTAAATTCTTATCACTGTCACTAGGTGGTTGGAATTAGGAAACATTTAAATATTTAATTGAATTAACTGTTTAGAAATGAAAATACAAAAGCAATATATCAGATGATTAGGTGATGTTCTCCAAGGAAGAAAATGCATTATGTCCCAGTGAGGATATTAAAGGCTGAATCGTGGTCTAGTTTACTGGCAATCTGTGTTGTTTCCATGAGTGTTAAATTCTCAGTTTTGAGGGGTTTCCATTTTAGAGATGAACTAACTTTTCAGAAAGAAAACTATCTATTTGGAATGCTTGTGGTGGATTTTTTCAACTTCTTTGTCTTTGAAGATAAAAATCGGGACCGAGAGAAGAAATTCTGAGTAGATGTGATTGCTTATGTAAAAAATTACCTTCACTATGGTTTGAGCCATGTTTCCAAGGAAAACCACATGGGATCAATCAAACTTTTTGAGAAAATGGAGTATATAGGGAGGACAATTTATGCAGTCCATCTTAGCCATTAGTTAGTTTTTCTGCCATTTAAATGTACTTAAAATCTTCGTTCTGGGCTGAAACGGCTAATCCTAATGTGTTTGAAGTTCATTAGTTCAGCATTAGATCTCATAATAAAATATCATGTATGCAATGCTTCATTTCACAGAAGTCCATATATATCAAATTTAAATAAGCAAAGTATATACAGCAGAAATATTTCAGAAATTTATTGAAAAAAGGGGGAAAAAAAAAAAGGAATATGGGAGAAATGCCTGTGTCAAAAATATAACCATAACCTGAGAGGGTGATTAGGTTTAAATAATTTATGGCAATTAGGCATAACTTGTAATAATAAGGAGAAATTTTTATCAGAAATTGAATTTGTTTGTTAATTATGAATCATCAGAATTTTTTTATATTTCAGCAAAATCTTTTACATTATCTTCCATTTGCAAGACTAATGCTAAATACTATGCAGGTTAATAGCTGTCAAATATGTCCTACATTCAGTAATACTGAACAGAAATTGTTCTATTTAGAACAGAAACAAACTACATTGTTTATAGCCTGCTTTTTGCTCTTACATACCTGCATAGACATGATACTCAGAGTACCCATTATAATTCCTTTTGCATTTGTGAGGGTGAAAAAATATACATCTCATGATGCCATAATGCAGAGTAAAGAGACTTTGTCTCAAGGCACATGAAATGGTAAATGCTGGAATAGGCAGTGGGCAGGCTCTTGTTCTTTGACTGGCTGCTGCTTGAAACTGTTAATATTCTCAGTAATTTAGCTCTGACAAGTGGTACTGTCATCCTTAGGGGGGCAGATAGACTGGAACTGCAGTAGTGAGCAAATCTGCTGATATGTAGAAAAAAATCTTGCTATTCTTTTGACTTTTCTCTTTCATTATGAACCAAGAAGTTATTTTTAAAGTGTGCAGGTTTCCAGCTTTTATGCAGAGGTATCCTTCAACAGGTCCTGTCACAGTCCAAAACTATCTCAAGTTCCCACAGCAGCAATATACACCAGTCTCTTCATATGATTGACTGTAGTAGTGAGAAACATGTGAATGTGGAACAGCAAGCATTGGGATCAATTTTTAATATATAAAAAAGAGACCATGTGCTCACATGAAAGAGAAAGAATTATATGTTTTCATCTACAATTAAAAATATACAACAACTAGAAGTTGTAAACTCTCTCCACAAGAGTCAAAATGTTATAATTTTAGTCTGTATTTTACTCACTGTTGCCCATGCAAAGGGGGAGTGAGTAATAAGTAGTGTTTTCACAAGTCACTCCTCAGGTTCATTCAAGGACACAAATAGGAAAGTAGAATCATGTGGTTAATGCATAAAATCTTCTTGGGGTAAAGTGAATTTGTATAGATAATTTCACTTTGCTTCTCTAAGCCTTAATATTTTTTGAATATTTAAGCACTCTTTTTTTATAGTTTAGCTTCCAGATAATTTTAATATATTCCCATAATAGATTGCAGAGTGAGATAGTAGTTTTGTTGTTTTTTTTAATATAAATTATTCATATTGTTCAATACAGGCTCTTATATTTAAATTTTTTGGAGTAAAGATTTTATTTTTCAGACTTTTTATTTTTATTTTATTTTCTGTTCTTCCTCTTAGAACCCAGAAGATTTGGTTGTGCTTTTTTTCCCTCTGGAGCTTTTTTGTTTTGTTTATCTCTACCCATTATTGCTTCACTTGAAAATGTTTTTACTCCTCTGGGCTTCTGTAAAAACAAGCCTAGAGCCTGGCTGTAGAACACTTAACCTCTGATTCTGACCTTTCACACACAGGATAAAATTCTTATAAGAACTCTTCTAACTGGAATTGTCAGTCAGGTAGAGATATAACTTATGCTGAGAAAAAAAGAAAACAATCAGTGTACATTTTTTCCTTGACTAAAGCAGTCTGCTGTGTTTATCTCTGTGGGATTTAATACCGCTGAGATTGCAAGTCTTAAAGTTTGTGCACCACATACCAATAGACCTCATGGGGAATAATATTCTTTTCAAAAAAATTAAAGGATAAATCTGGAATGTAATCAAAGGATGGATCCATTTAAGAAATAATTGTAAGGTCTTGTTCTTACTGGGCATGAATGATACATGGAAGCTATTTGCAATCAGACAAATGGTTCTATGTCTACTACTATAATAATATGGTTTAAACATCTCTGTATTGATTGTATAGTCTGGTCGTTAAATAAAATATGGGGGTTTGTGACTGAGTCTGTGAAGGGAATATTTCTTTCCTCTCAGCTGTAGGGAATAGAATCCCTGTAAATAAAACAGAACAAGCACTATTCTGTGAGAAATGTCAGGGTTCAGATTTTGTGCCTAAGGCTCTTTCTTCTAACTCAAGGTGACCTCAAGCAGACTGCATATAGGAGAAAATTTCCAGCATTTCCTGAACCCTGTAATTTATCTGTGTGCTGGCAGCCTGCTGTCCAGCACAAACCTCAGTTGAGCTATCCCACAGTTAAGAATACCCACAACCAGAGGCATGTGCTTGAGCTGAATGCTCTGACTTTTCTAGGATTTCCACCAGCTGTATCATTGATCAGACTGTAAATGGACCCCACCCTTTAAGCAAAGGCATAACTGCTAGTACCAGAGCACTGGTTCATGTTAGTTTTTATTCAACATCAGAGGGGGAAAAAACTACAATAAACTTCAAGAAGATTCACACAGCAGGGAGGAAGCTTTGAATAATGTTTCTGTGATTCCCTCTGCAATGGGAAGGATTCTCTTCTCCTTTAGGGAAACTTGTTAGTACATCACAGAGGATTAAGACACAGCTTTTACTGAAGTCCACTTGTACAATTTCCCTGTCTAATATGATGTATTAGGCTATAATATACTAGAAAAAAAACACTGTTAAAATAATCCTCAACACTGATTTATTTTGGTAACTGAGAATAAGGCAGTGCAAGGCAGTCGCTGCCCTCAAATCAAAAATATTGTTCAGAAACATGGTTCAGAAATATTCAGAAATATATTTTAAAGGAATATTTAGGGCTTTGGCATTATTATCCATGGTTGAGAAAAGTGCACCATATTTTCCAAATACATTGAACAGACCCTTCAGAGAAGGATCACTGGGTAACAGCAGGATAAGGAATCACAAAACACTGCAGGCTTCAGACTGAGGGCTGTCTTGGGAAGCATTTGGAAGATCATTTCTCTGTCAAAGAAAAGCTTATTATTTTCTCCATGTTATTCCATCTTTAAAGTTAATATATATTAACTTTACTTTTGGGTGAGTCAATTCAATTGTCTCAGAAGAACCTTTCCCAAACAAAATTCCTACTATTCTGAAAAGAGTACAGAATGCTAAATAGACAATAGGGTGGAATTTCACATTTTCTTACCTCCTTTGAAATATATTTTAGTCCCTGAATAATTTAAGAGTTTAAAAGAGCCAAAGCCCCTATATCCTTGGTGGATATGTGCCACAGCTTTACTTGCAAGTGATGAGGACAGTGAGATGGAGATTATTATAAACAGCCACAATGAGAAGTTTAAACACAGTTTGAACATTAGTGACATGACTCTATGACTCATTTTATAATGTAGTGCTCAAGGCTGTTTAATTAAATCCTCAAATAGCAATAGCAGTGTTCTCCAATGTTATCAAAATAATTGCTGCCAATGTAAATCAGTTTAAAACCTGAGAGCAAATCAAAATACAAAATGTTGTCACAGAGGTCAAGACTGCTAAATACAATTCCGTGTGCAAGATATGTCACAGTTCTGAATCTTTCCTTGAGCTTTCCTTTTTTAAAATTGGCTATGTGAATAGTATTTCTACCTTTTTGTTTGTCTGTTTGTTTGGGGGGGAAAGGGAGAAGGAGGGGACGTGATGGTAGTGGTTTGAACATATGTGGATTGATTCCCAGGAGCAATTGATAAGAAAAATTGGCAACCAAGGTAAGTTCATATAATGAAAGGAAACAACAGACACAAAAAGACATGGACTGGTGCTTTGCCAAATAGAAAAATTAAACATTTAAAGACAGATAAACTTTAAAAAAAGGATATTCTTAAAGATAACCAGGAAAGACTAAATTAAAACTTAAGATCTTACAACTTTTAGTTACTTGATCGATAACAAAATCTACATTATTCATGTGCCAGGTGGATGCTTATATCCAGCCTACAAGGTGTAAAACTAGTACCTCCTTCAATTTTGTATAATATGTTTTGTATATTTTTATATATAATGTGTTACAAATGTGTTTAGTTTAAAATAAACTCCTCTATTGGTTCACACAGACAAGACTTAGACTGTCCACTAGATAAAGACTTGAGAAACTCACCATTACTTTGGATCTCAATCAACAGTTGAGTTTTGAAAATCAGTATTTTTGATTTTTCACCTACAATGGCAACTAGGTGTTTTATCTGTCTACTTTTGGAGTTCTTGCTCCTGATACTTATCCATTAATATGTACTAAAATCCTTTTTAATGTCACAATTTAATTTCACAGTCAATCACATGCTGTGAATAGATAATCTATGTTTAAATATGTATATGGATATATTTCTTCTCCAAGAGGCACTGAATGCTAATGTTACTTTCACAGCCATGATATAAGGAGCACTAAATATCTCTGGCCCTTAAGGTGACTTCAATAAGAAAGTCTTATTTTAACTCAGAGGAAATCAGTCTCTCTTTTGTTTCCCAGCCTTTATTCTTCTGTGAGTGTTTATTTCAGGTATAGTTTTTTCCTCTTTTCCACAATCTAATGACATTTTGTGATCTCTTCTTAGTAATAGGATAAAGTGCATTGCAGATTCTGATCTATTTACGTAAACTCAAGATGCCTTTATCAAGCTATTTCTGTAACTTTACTATTCCTTCTCTGCCTTAAAATTACTCAATAAATATTCTGTGGTCCATTGCAAAAAATCAATACTTTTAAAATGTGAGTTAACAATCCACACGTTGCATTTTCTTCTCCAAGCAGGAACAGCATATCCAAATATCCCCTCATAGACCTCTTCAGATTTGGATTCCCACAGACTTCAACATTATTATTCATTATCTGTTTTAAACTGCTTAGTAGAATTGTTCTTGCCATGCTCAGCTTGAGAGAATAATATACTGTCATACTGTGTAAAGCCACTCTGTATAATAGTTGAAAAGAATTTTTTCTTGTGAGGAATATGAAGCATTTTGGGTTGATTGCCAGTGAAATGCAGAAAATTTCACATATAAGCATTTGCTTTTTAGGGGACTGGAGTCAGGGGATTAAGCATCTATGAAATCAATTGCATGCTAGGTATCTCTACTATGCATCATTCATTTCCCCTGCTTCTTCCATTTCATTAGATTGCAGGATTTTTTCCCTAGCTAATAGTAAGGATATTAAGCATTTCATCAGCATTTCATCAGTAGGAAAAATACTTTGTGTCTGCATTATGTTAAATTCACTCCCTAAATTGATTCAACTTACAATAATTTCAACACAGCCAAAATCAAAGTACTTTAGAATTCTCCCAAAACCTGCCATCACGTGGAAGGGATGGTGGGGCAGGGAAGTGTGGGGGAGAGGGTGTAGGAGGGGGAGAGGAAGAAGAAAGTAAAATGTGAGCATCCAAAAAAGAATTTTTGAACAATTTCTGAGTCAGCATGTAATGCCTAACTCCACATTCTACATCAAGCACGGACATGTAATTTTTCTTCAAGTAAATATTTGTGCAGAGAAGAAAAATTGACCTGGGATTGTTATTAGCAGGAACTGTCATTATTATTGTTTTTCTCTCCAGGGTTCATCTTGAAATGGAAGCTTCTGCTTGAAATAAAGAAATGAAGAAATCACATATGTGAGTCTGAGACTACTTAATATAAATAATCCTTATATAATTTCTATCTCCCCAGCAAAATGCAGGGGAGAAGATTTCTATTTGGTAAAAAATATAATTAAGACATATTTAAATTTTAAGTATAATAACACTCCTATCTCTATGCCTTTGAAAAAAAGTAAGTAAATCAATAATGGACAATGAGTGTAAGCTTAGGATTTTGAATTTTCAATATATTCTAGTCAAGTATCTAAACAACAGGCCATTAAAATTTATTCTTTATTTAAAAAATAAATTTTTATGCAGGCTTTTAATTGGCATCCATATTTTAAAAGAAATATAGAATAACTCCCTCTTTCATATAACATAGTGACATTGGTGTGACCTTTCTTTCTGGGTTACATTATATACTACATTCTAAATTATAATTTTCCATCTAAATGGAATAATTCCAGAGATATAGGGTATTAAACTGTTTAGAGAATTCTTTATTACCCCTTAAAAGATTAGTGAGCAGGCAGTTGGCAGTTCTGGTCCCTTAATAATTCTGCTTTATTTCATGGTATTACTTCACTAGATTTTCATTTTTTTACCCTACTGCTACCAACTTCTCCATTCTGCATTCTTCTTTAAAAAGAAAAATGTGCAATATGACCTGTATTATCCTCAATTTCTGCAGTAATTTACAACCAGTCCCTGACACGTATTAACTTCCTCTTATGGACACATTTGTTTAGTTTCTAGAAAATAGTTTTCATTTCTGTTAGTCTACTACAGGGACGGCAGTATTTTTTGTTTTGTTTTGTTGTCTGTGGTTTGGTTTTTTTTGTTGTTGTTGTTGATTTTTATGGGGTTTTTTTTGTTGTTGTTGTTGTTGGTTTTTTTTTTTTTTCTTTTTAAACTTTCTTGATTCAAACTTCTGCTCTTTACTCTCTTTTTTTACTTGTAAGTCACCAGTTTATGGAATAAAGGACAATACCGTATGAATGCTTTGATTTGTGAGGGAGCAATGCAGTGAAACAAAGGATTACTTTCAAAGTCATATTCATTTTAACATTTTTCTGTGCAGTCTTTCACTATCTTTATATTTATATAGTAATCAGTTAACTCAACTCCCCCAGGTTTTCTACTGCAACTCAGGGACTTGAAAATCAGAGACACATGAGATGATTCTTCTTATCTGACTTTATGCACATAAAACCTAGCGAGCTTAGAGAAATACTTTAAACTGTGCAAATCACTCTAAGTTTTCTATTTAATCTTCTGAGAAGAAAAAGGTTTCTATGCAGAAGTGTCAGTCTGGACATTTCTTTTGGGATGAAAACAAAATAAACCCATTCTAGAGGTATGCTTTTCCTCTGCATGCTAAGAAGACAATCTGGTATCTCTAGCTGAAAAGCAAATGTCTGACAGGGTATCTCAAGGAACTGAAGTACATGTCAAGATATTAAAAATTTGTGCCTGTGATTTTTAATTCTTTGGCTTATTTTTTTAAGCTTTAGTTAAACTTCAGATAAGATGTTTATAACTGAAGTTGATATATATTCTGTGCTTCTAAGGATTCCAGATGTAAATTTTGAGAGTAATACTGGTTAAAAATGTCAGAACATCTTCACTGACTGACAGCTTGATATTTAAAAGCCTGTTCAGAAGGGAAAAAAAATTGAAAGATTGGTATATTTCTCTTTTTAATCTGTCATTAGAAAAGTTATTTCTTAATTGACATCCAGTTTTGTTTGGTTCTAATAGTTATTTTTTAATATGTTGTTTAGAAGTATGAACTACATATAACTTGATAAAAACATAATCTGAGTGAGGGATGATTAGTGAAGATCTAGTTGTTGATCTATGTCTGAAAAATAATTTCTGTACAGCCATGTATTTGGTGTCCTTGTAATCCTTCTACCAAGAATTCAGAATGTTAAGCACAAGAATTTAGGTGATTGATACCAGTCTAACTGTAGATCATTAATTCATCCTAGATAGCATTAATCATTTATTCTTGATCCGCTCTTAGACCTCATCACTTTTCTGCTGTCCTTTGCAATAGGATGGCATGGTACAATTCTGTAAACTGTTTATACTGCTATCTTTTCCTGTTTTTCCTGAAATATCTGAAGAAGAGAGCTGACTCCAGTCAGAATAGCCTTTTCTTAAAAAAAAAAAAAAAAAAAAAAAAAAAAAAAAAAAAAATAAAAAAAAAAAAAAAAAAAAAAAAAAAGGAAAGAAAAGAATATTAGGATATATCTTTCTATCCTTAAAACATCTTTCCTTCTGGTTTTGTGTTTCAGAACTGTTTCAAGAAAAACAAGATCAAGTGGATGGTATATAACAAAAGTAATAAATTTCTCAGTTATGGGAGACAGCGAGGTGGATAAAAAAAAACAAATGGCCAAATGGGAATCCAAAATTTAAAGCTATTAATGGCTACTAGGTAAATAGTAAACTACAGATTAGAACATGAATAAAAACAATGGATAAAGATTTGTGTATCTTAATCAAGATGTTTCATTAATAGATATAATTAATTGGCTCTTTCTTATGTGAGATTACTTTTTTATGCCATAAATATTCAGATTTACATATTGTCTATTGCTGTTTTCAGTCTGTTTCTTGAAGAGGACAATACTTCTCTTGTGTTTAAGAACTGGTTAATTTTTAGGGTTTTTTTAAAGAGAAGAAATATACAGTGAGACAAGAGAAATACTGAACATGTGGGCAGCAAATTAGGAATTTTTGCTTTAATCAACAAATTAAGACTAATACTTTGAGATAAAACTGATATCTTCCGAGTCACTGTCTGACGGTTGATATTAAAACTCATTATTCAACCAAGAATGTACAAAGAACATGAATATCTAAGGTGTTTTAATTTATATGTCATAAATAATTTCAACATGTCCTTGAGCTGAATTTTTAAGAGTCAGAATAGAGAAAACTTTCATCTGTGTCCATTTAAACTATAAGAAAGCAAGAACTTACTATGATTGCTTGAGTAGTTTCAATGACTTCATGACTTCTGATATAAGGAAGCTGAAAAACTCAGCAAACTTTAGAACTAACTCTTTATTTAAGCAATTTGCCAGAGATTACTAATTTATATCATGTCCACAGGAAACAGAGTGGAAATGTAAGTAAGGGAATAGCAGAGGTAAAGATTTTAGATATTATAAGTTAACACCTGCCTGTAAATTAAAAGCGTTTAAAAATTCAGATTCGGTTTTCCTCTTCTGTTATGAAAAATGTCTGTCTCTTCACATCTGAGTATAAAGTTGAGAAAACAAGAGCAGTTCTATGTTACTTTACAACTGAAAATATGTATATATATATATATATATACACAAAGTGAAAAACAAACCTGATTACTGTGACAAGACTGCTTAAAAAACAAAGCCAGATTGCCTTTAGACTTCAAAACAATGTCTACTAAATTCATTCATTAACAACACACTTCATGACAGTGCTTAGTTATTGCACATTAACAATCAATATTGTTTTAAAGTTTATTACATTGTCTTCAGCAAAGCCTCAACATAAAGTTTACAATGTGTCTTCAACACCTAAATTCTGAATTACCTGTGTGGGTGCAACTCCACATCACTGATGTCACTGCTGGCTGCAGTTTGTGGTGGTCCTTGGTGAGAACAAGGTGATCAGCCTTGAGAGCTGTTGGCAGGAGAACTCAGATGTGCATTGTTTTATCTTCTTCTGCAGTTTTTCTCACTTGTGCCTGCTGTTTTTTGCTGCTGCAGTTCCCTTTCCCATCATCGTGAGGAAATCATCTCCTCCTGATGCTGCTTTGAGTTTGAAGGATATCTTTCCAGTTATCACAGCATACTTGGTTGGAAGTCTTGTGCATTTGCAGACCCTTGTGATTATACTGTCCTCTGAAACTTTGTATTACTTGGATGTCTCTTATATGCAACTTCTATTTTCCACTTTGGTGGTCACAATTATTCTCATACTTATGTAAACTGCTGAATTGTTTGGCTCACAGTGTTGTGCCCTGACAATGCTACGAAATGCTTACATACTGTTCTTGCTTACATTGTTTCAGTGTGATTATATCCAAGTTAGAATTAATTGCATGCTTATCAACTTATTTATAATTCTAGATGTCACAGTCGTTCCTAGTAGTTGTAAAACACTGCCTTTGTGCCTGCTGTGGAACATACAGACTTCTCACAATGAAAGAGCACCCTCTGCATGCTCGCTATCCAACTACATAAAGCTTTTCTGGCAAAGGAGTTCCAGCCAGTATCTCTCTAAACATGATTGTTAGAAACCTCCAACTTCTGGCCTTCCATGTTTAGCAAGCACTGTTTATACCCACTTCCTCTTTGGAAAGATTATTTCTAGGATTTTTTCTAGACTATAGTGTAAATTCTGAGGAACAAACATACTGATCAGATGTGTAGAGTTCAGATGTGCTGAGGTCTTTTGTACCTTTTTTTCTTGCAACAAAACCTCAAATCTTGCTGGCTTGCTAAAATAAATCATCGTTGTCTATGCTATTGGGAACTTCCTCCTGTTCCTCCTAAATAAAAAGCAGATTATAACATTAGGGACACTTCAGCACTGGAAGCCAAGGAGATTAATGTCTGCACTGAAAAGTCTTGGCTAAGAAAAGGTAAGTGCTGAATGAAAGAGATGTGGCTGTTTGCAAAGAGAAAGAGATTTCAATGGAGCTCAGAAGAACTGGAAGTACACATTTACCATGATGGAACAGAATTCTACTGACAATTTTTTTTTTAGTTCTTTCAGCACACAAAATCCATAAATCCTAATCAGAAAGCTATGTTTGATAGGCTGTCTATCCACAGTAACTAGGTGCAAAGTGGTGACATCAGCTAAATTCTTTCTTTAGTAATTTAATGGAAAAAGAACTGGAATTCTATCCTGCAAGTCATCAGCAGAATTTTTTATATAACTGAGTTTTGCTCACATTATCAATTGCAACTAAATCAAGTATTTTTCTTTTTTTTTTAACCTCATCTAATAAGGAACTGCAAAGTTATTCCAATTTCTCCATACATGTTGGAGAATTATTTTTGAGACTTTTCTAGTATGGGTTGAAATACATAATATGGGTTAATTAATCTTTGGAATTATTCACAAACTATGCATGCTAAGTGCTTTCAGTCAGTGTTATATGTTTTTGGTATCTGATGACCTATTACATTTAATTGTTTCCACTTCTATCTGCTTTGTCTCATTTAGGTGGAAAGTAAATAATCAAAAGCACATGAAAAATGCTGTGTCCCCAACAGAAAGCAGTTTTGTACTGTAGGACAGGTCTTCTATATCCAAATACCATTGTTAAAGTGCCTACATTGACAATATATGAAATATTTTATATACAATATGACTTTTACATCCTCCAGGTTAGATTTATTCAGTTTCATTGGGTAAATGTCCATACCATCCTCCTGATATGAAAATGTCCAAAAGGAGAAATCATTATTTCAAACACTTAAATCTGCCCCAGCACTGTAAGTGCATCTGAGGCCAATCTGACACCATAGCTCCTGTTCTGGTTAACTTCAAAAATAATCAAATGCTTGTTAATGTAGATGACTTTCAAACTGAATCAATGCTCAGGGATAACCAGAGGATTCACTTTGAAACCTCGTTACTGCTCACACTAATGTGGAAACAGACATTTAAAGATGTTTGTGCTTCTATTTTAATAACTTTTGTCTAGAAATGTAAGCTATTGCACTCATAAATATAATGACAAACCATGCTAACACATATTAAAAAATACCAACCATTCCTACAAACACACACAATTTATCAGAATGATATCCTTAGCAACAAAGAGATGTGAAAGTGTTTGAAGGAAAAAAAAATGTGCAATTGTAACAAATATTCACAAATAATAGGTTTTTCCAACTTCTCATCAGCTTCCTTTTGTACTTATTATTTTTTTTTGTTTGTTTTCAGTTGTTTGTGTTTTTTAAGTGTAATGTTATTGATGGTGATATACAAATAGCTAATTTGATTTCTGTTAGTTTAAAGCACGTACACATCTTTCTTTTTTTTTTCTTTTCTTTTTTTTTTTTTTTTTTTTTTTTTTTTTTTTTTTTTTTTTTTTTTTTTTTTTTTTTTTTTTTTTTTTTTTTTTTTTTTTTTTGGTAGTTTCTTTTATCTTGGAAATAATTAGGGCTGTCTTAAGACTCTTGCTTTACTTTTTCTGCTTTGACCTGTGAAGATTAGTACACATATCAGTCACTTAGTCAAACATTGTAACTCTGCCCTGAAAGATTAAGTGAATTTCCATTGTAAAACACATTTCTTTTCATCCAGAGACGGGTTTTGTTGTGCTGAAGACACAGATGTGTTTCATTATGCAGGTTCTCAATACTACTAATGAAATGACATTAGGAAAGCATCAATTAGTTAAATATAACACAGAACATACAAAGTATATCTACAACAGAATTAATTTTATCCATCCTAAATTGCTTTTTGGATATGAATTAGCTTTTTATATAAGTAGCAGTACAGTAGCAGCACTGAATAAATCCTTAAATGGAAAATTTTATTCAATAAAAATAAGGGGAAAGTTTAGTTTCCATGGTTTTCTAAATTAATTAATATAAAAATTAATGTATATTATAGTGACAAGGATAATGTAACTATTAAAGGTCTAGATGCACTTGAAAAAATAGTTAAAATGGAAGTTTTCTGAAAGTATGTATGAAATGCTTTTCTGTATTTAGTTATATTGTTATCTTTGTTTCCTTTTTTTTAATGGGTTTTATCATTTCATGGTTTTTTTCTGTTCTCTATCCATAAGATTTGTATTACTGACATGATCTTCTGATATGTACTGTCATGTTTTTGAGGTATTTCAGCTTAAGGCTAGAAAAGATTGAATTGCTAGTAATTTTAATGCCTGTGCAAATAATTCTGATTTAATCTAAACTCATGTATATTTAGAAAAATATACTCTAGATTAAAAAAAAAAATCAACAAAGTTTAGAAATACTTATATCTAGACTTCTTCCTGTGCAGAACTATGTTATGGCTCTATCATTCCTATGGTCCTTTCCAGGTTCTGCCACCACTAACTTGCTGCCTCCAAGAGTGGGGGAAATCTACCAAATTTTTTCACTGAAGATTTGAGTGTAAAGCACATGATCTCAAAGGAATGAAGCTGTTTGATGAAGAAACATTGTGTTTTCTCTGGAAGAAAGTAAGATTAAATAAATACGTTCTTATATCTTCCTCTATGCAGTATAAGGCTGTTTAAAGATTAACAAAAATTAACATCTACCTGTAATTCTCTAACAAATCCACTGAAGACTGTTGTGTTGGACTGGGTTGTTTTGGGGGTTTTTATCAGATCTTCTGATAATGACACTGAGGAGT